AAAATGTTCCCTATCCAACCTTTACGTCTCCCAAGGGCGGCAAACGTTAGCTACGCCATTAGAGAGCGGTTTGTTGCATTCTTCAATTAGAAGAATTCCTGTTAGTGAATGGAACTGGTGCATAGGCAACATTAAGAATGTCCACAGTTAGTGTATACTTAACCCTATATAAATATATACAAATATTTCTACTTGCAGTCTCTGTTCATTGTAACAGCCAATTCCTTCCACTTTCTATCCTTAGCACATGAATCCTTGAACATCGGATGACGAGTATCATACAATAAAGCATTTTCTTTGATGAACTCTATTATTTGTTCCATTTGGCTACCTGTGCCGTTTCACGTACGTATAGATACTGACTGAGTGTGAGTCATGGCCAGATGGTTATCGGGTGTCAAAGATTCCCGAGTTCCCGAGTGTCGCGTCTGTGTGAGCGGCCCAGTCGGTAAACAGCCGTTTTTGTCCAGAGTGCTATATCGTCCCGAATCGTATCGCGTCTGTGTGTGGGAGCCTTTATGCATACTGTATACTTACTGTAGTAAGATCGGTCTGTGTGAAAATATTTACCCCTTAAGAAATCTAACTCCTTAAACTCGAAACTTGTCCATTCATTACGAGCTTATGCTTCTAACACATTTTTCTTTCTAATATAATGACAACTGCAAAACACTTAATACAGAAACTTGATTTTATCAGTATGTCAAAAGAGCAAAATGAATGAGAGCACTAGTTAATACAAGAAAATTAAACCCTTACTCACATGGCATTTTCTTATCACAAATCTGTGGGAAGAACATAAGAAAAATTAAGAGATAAAAAACTTGTGCTACAAAGAATATCCAACCAATCAGCACCTTAACATTGAATGTGTTTAATTTCAGTGTTCCATCCTTTTTAATCATCTTGTAATGTCTGTCAGAACAACATAACTATTTGCTTTTCTTTGATTTCTTTGTTACGGTTGGCTTCTTGGCTTTCAGTTTTGAAATGATGATGAAGATAGACAAAATTGTGAAACCTACAGATCCAAACCCAATCTTCCATATCCATGGGTTGTCCCGTAAATAGTCCACTATCATCTGCAGGAAGTCGTCACTGCAATGGAAACAGAAGACTGTATCACCACAGTTAAGAACACGGGAAAAGACTACTTGGATCTTAAACAGAAAATTCATTCAGTCATTCATTTATTCAGCAATCCATAAATCCTTACATGGTTAAACACCAATGGATATAGAAATAGTCAACATGAGTAAACATGATCACATACTGCATCACAATAGTGTAATGTCATACCATGAAGGTTCTGAGAGCCATCAGGCTCAGGATAAGAGTAAGCAATGATTTTCTATAAACACAATAATGAACCTTCTGGTGTGATAAAAAGTAAGGAATTTCTTAATCATCTGAGCGACTTCTATGTTCTCATGGACTTTGCCCCACTGAGTTAGATGAGAACACATACAACACCTAATCAGTCACTTGTACAGCCCAGTGATTGCAAAAGGGAAATTTGAAACATGTAAAATGATAAAAAGGGCATACTTTACACACCACAGCCAGGAGAGGGATGCAGAGGGATGCCAGAATTTTAACTACCAGCTAAAATGTTCAATCAACAATAGCTAATTTTTTATTGATCTACTTTCAAGAAGGGACAAGGGGACTATAATTTACTCATTGTGCACAGGCTTGCTTTGTAACATCTGAATTCATTAGTACCAGTTCAACAAATTTGGTGCAAACTGGCTTCAGTGCACCCAGTCACAACTTTCAGAACATTTTTGTTAAAATAATATGTAAATTTAAAGAATAAAGATGGTATTATGAAACTGAACAAGCCTTGCTGGTGTGGTTCAAAGAACAAAGGCAGAAGAAATCAGTTTAAGCCTAATCACTGAGCTCCATGCATCAAATGGCTGGCTTAACAATATTTAAGAATCTTGTCTGCATTGTATACAGGGCAACTAATGGACAGTCACACTAAATTTTGCATTCCTGATGAAACATGTGTATTAAATGGTGGGTGTACACCTGAGCTAATGGAGTACTCGCAGGTTTCTGAGTACATATTATGCATTTTTTATAATACATATGTATAAGAAGGCTAGACCAAGATGGCGGCAGTTGACGTTCTTGATTTCGCCTCTCGCCTTTTTGATCAAGATTCTTGTGATAGTGAAGAAATTGTTTGTGCGAAATGTAAAAAACTGACGGAATATCTAAAACTTGCAGTAATGGAATTAAAATCAGCTCAACAAATAATCAGGATTTTATATAAAGAAAGAGCTGAACTGAATAACCTCAACAAACAAGTGAACCTAACTAATGTAACGAATAGGATCCCAGGAAATGTGAGGTGTTTGAAGGAAAAGTCAGTCAAAGTAAATCATATAAGTGAAATCTCAGAAAAGGTAAAACATAAAATCAGAATTGTAGGTGATAGCCATGCAAGAGGTTTGGCTAATGAATTAAAGGACAAGCTAACTTGGGACTTTGAGACTCAGGGACTGGTAAAACTCGGATCTCCAGTGGGAGAATTGGTACACCTCTCCGATTCGGATCTGAAGGATTTAACAAAGAGTGATGTGTGTCATGTGGGGTGGTTCAAAAGATGTTAGTCGAAATGAGTCTAATCTGGGAATGCGAGCATTAAAACATATAATCAGTTTTCTTACACACAAATGTTGTGATAAATGTCCCACCCAGATATGACCTTTCACCAAACTCCTGTGTAAATGATGAAGTTCTAGTGTTTAATAGAAAACTTGAGAAACTAAAAAAGGTTTGCTTAAATCTTTCTGTATTAACAGTAGACTCAGCTCAGGACTTACTCACAAGACATGGATTGCATTTAAACTCTCAAGGGAAAGAGCATACTGCTACAAGAGTAGCAACAGTGATAAATGATCTGTTTAGCATAAACAAATCGGTCCCAATTGTGTTAAAGTGGAGTTGTCTGGGTGATGCGCAGAGTAATTTAGTCGATAAGTTGATCACTTGTGTGGAGATTGTTGATGGGAATGACTGGGACAGGAAGTCCAAGGTCCTCTTGAATACAGATTGTGACATGATAGGAAAGCAAGAGAGTAATGGGGGTTTAAAGCTAAATGAGACTGATCACAACCTGACTTCACTGATTTCCCAAGAGAATGTCAGTCCTCATTTTGTGGGTGACATTACAGATTCTACCAGCGATCTCAATCAGGATCGAAATTTAGATACGACTAAAGTTATGCCATAACACAGACTCTGAAAACCACCCTCTAAAAGAAGGGATGATTTTTCATGGATGGGAGACAGCAAAATAAAAACATGACTCATATAAAGGCAGATAATATACAAATCCTCCATCATAATGTGCAGAGCTTAAAAAGTAAAATACTGAACTGTTTTTTTACAATTTGACCTAAAAGATGTTGATATATTATGTTTTACTGAGCATTGGCTAAAGGAGGATCAGTTAGCACTAACAAATATTGAGCATTTTAAACTAGTAAGTAAGTTTAGTAGAACTAGTTATGAACATGGTGGTAAAGTAAAGAAAAGTAAAAAAGTAAAGCTATCCCTGTAACAGGCCGTGAAGGCCCATAGGGTTGTGAGACGTTAAGGGCCCCACATTACCTTGACAATCGGCTCAAAGATGGCGGTAAGGTTGTCAGCCTTACATGCCAGCCGTGCTTCACTCCCCAGGAAAATTATTTAATTAATTCCTGGTACTCATTTCTGTTAGAGGCTGAGTAAACCCCAGGGCCTAGTGCGGCCGGAAGGATTAGGTCAACTGAAAAAAATCCAATGACCCCATCGGGACTTGAACCCATGACCTTCCAGCTTGTAGCACAGTACCTTAACCACTACGCTACCGCATACCCCATGAACATGGTGGTTCATGTATATATGTAAAAGAGTATGTACAAACTACAGAACTACTCCACTTGCAAAAATTAGGTAAGGAAAAAAATTTTGAAATGTCCATAGTGAAATTGTTGAAGGACAAAATAATTCTTGTATTTATAGGTCACCAGATGGCGACTTTTACATGTTCCTAAAAAATTTGGAAGTTGTAATCCAAAATGTGCAGTTGAAAAGGAAAAAACTAATTTTATGTGGTGACTGGAACATAAACTTCTTAGATGACACTGTAAGAGTACGAGAACTAAAAAATTTGCTTCGGCTGTATAATTTGGCCAACATAATTACATCCCCAACCAGGGTCACAAAGAATTCCTTAACACAGATAGAAGTCATAGTAACAAACAAGCAAATTTTGGAATGCATATCATCTGTATTGGACTTGGGTTATTCGGACCACTTGGCACAAACACTAAAGATTAATGTAAACAGACAAGAGAGGGGTCTTAAAATGAGCAGAAAAAGACAGTTTACTAAAGAGGGTATCCAGGAGTTTAATTATTTACTGTAGAAGGAGTTATGGCAGGAGAGTTTTTCAAACTCAGATGAAAGTGCTAGTTTTAATGATTTTATGGACACGATCCTTTATTATTACAATACAGCATTTCCAAAAAAGACTGTTTATATGAAAATGACAAGGAAAAACAAATGGATTACCCAAGGCATAAGAAATTCTGGTAAAAGGATGAGACTGTTAAATGGTTTTAAAAAACAGCATAATCTGACTAGGGACATGCTGGATTATATCACCAGATATAAAAAATTTATAAGTGTTATAAAAGAAGCAAAAAAATAGCAAATGATAAGTATGTTTCAAGGTCTCAAAATAAAGTGAAAGCTGTGTGGCATTTAATAAAAAATGAAGTTGGTAAGTCATGTAAAGGTGATAAGAAAATCCAAATGTTTAGCGGTACAAAAATAATATCAGATCCGCAAAGTGTGGCAGATATGTTAAAGAATTTCTTTGTTGAAATAGTTGATGACCTTTTTAAGTCAAAACAACAAAAATAACAAAAACACACAGTGGCAGAAACAAAATATAAACTGCTGCCCTAATACCATATTTTTCCATCCAGTCACTGAATATGAAATAGTGTGTGTAACAAATAGTCTAAAAGGTAAATTATCTGCAGGATATGACAAGATACCAGAATATCTTGTTAAAAAATGTATAAATTATGTAAAAAGACCACTGGCTCGTATTTTCAATGCCTCATTGAGCTCAGGCACCTTCCCAGATAGATTAAAATTAGCTAAAGTGATACCTCTGCATGAAAAAGGGGAATATCATGATATTAAAAACTATAGACTGATATCCATTTTATCGGCCTTTTCCAAAATATTAGAAAAATTAATGTATAATATGCTAATGCCTTTTTTAATTCA